ATGAGCTTCGCTGTAAAGTTGAGACTAATATTTCAAAATAAACTCCAATGTAGGGATGTATCAGTCTATTTTTCTTTTGTTCCTCTTACAAATATATACACAAAGACATAATACCCAGTGTGCCACAGTGTAGCGAAGGGTATAAATCTGTCAAAAATCTTTCGTTTCTAACTAACTAACAAATATGGCGTATAACTAATGACGTACATCATACGCCACCAATGCCATTGCTCGTGTAGTCTATTATTACAGCAACAGCTGCTACTGCTGTTCTAATAAATTAAGCAACTAACCAACCTTTTACATTCAATCGGAAAAAAATGCTATGACAAATTTTTCCTGGCAAATGGAAAACATGTTTTGTTTTTTGGTTTGTTCATTAAAACGATAACATGTTGTGTCCCAATAATAAAACCAACAACTACAGTAAATACCATAAAAACACAAACAAAAACTAACCGGATATCTATGCTACCAGTCAAACCACTATCACTAATAATACCAAACTGTCATCCAATCGACTAATACCTACCTACCTATCTACTCGTAAATTGGTAGTCGCCCCTTTTCCGAAAAATGCCATCATTTTACGGTGTTGTTCGTTCGACTCTTGACATAACGACAACTAATCAAATTTGAATTTACACAGAAAATTAGACTCGAAGCCATTACAAAGTGCAACGGAAGCGGAAACTGTTGCGATATCAGACTGTGTGTGTGTGTGGCAGTGGTATACTTACACGAACACACTTGTAACTGCAAATTCGAATGACAGTTTACGCATGCATTGAAATCTATGTATATTCGTGAGTGGGTTTGTATTTGCAGTTGTGTGCGTGATTGCAACATATTGCATGTTTTACATGGCGTTCGTCTATAGGCAATGATGTACTACATCTAGGTGTGTGTGGATGTGTGTCCATGTACATATTTATGGGGATATTGTAGGAATGTTAATACGGATGAGTGTGTGTGTGTGTGTGTGCGTCTGTAAACTTGTATGCATTTCAGTTAGTTCGGCTCGGTTTGTTCGTTATTCTCACTCTCCCCATTTGGTTCTTCTCCTACGTCTGCCGTTTTCAATGTTGATGCTGATCACCGTCATCATCATCATCATCGCCATCAGAGTGATGCGTAACATTGACACAGACGACAGGAAAGTGACATGACATCCACAGCGTGTAACGAACGGAAACATTGAAAATTACAAAACAAATGTTCAGTTTTTATTGTTGTTGTTATTTTAACTCGTACAGCAGCATATTCTGTCACCATATGTAAACTTCAGAATAGAGTTTGGGCTTCGTTTTGTAAAATTGAAAATTACTAGTAATAGGTGGGGCTTAAGCGACTGATTTTAAATGACAGGCAACATGATTTTTTTTTTGCACTCTCGCTCCCTCTCTCTTTTAAGAAAGAAGACATTTTCTCACACACCACTACTACAAGAGCTTCTGTTTTTTTGTACAAGACCAAGGCATCATTTTTAACGATCTTTCCTTTCTAGCCATGCCCTGTAGTCTTCTTTTCTCTAAGACCAGCCGGATGTCTGATTAACGCAAACACTCATACGCACCACTCCAATGCCGTCAAATCGACTTTAGAATGTTACAAATTGTATATGTTTCAGAATATATTCGTACGCCGAACGTGCAAAACATATCAAGACGTATTTTTCTTACCTGAAAGTGTCTGCATTTTTATACTCTTCACCAAACTGTGGTACAGGGTATTATGTATTTGTGGATATGTTTGTAACAGGCATAAGGAATCGATGTAGACACATGGTTCCTTTTGAGAATATGCATAGAATCACTTTCTAAGTTCATTTACGCATGTAAGTCTGCCCGTCCGTCCGTCTGTCCATGTTAAATTGTAAACAAAATACAGGTCGCATTTATTATTCGAATTGGATGAAATGTAGCACAGCTCATTCATTTGGCCCAAGGACGAACCCTATTGAATTGCGACAAACCGATTTTAGGTAAATGGTGCACCAAAGTCTCTAAATAGCTTTCGATTTGCACGAAATTTTGCACAGCGTACTGAATTAGAAATAGAATGATGTGTGCTAAGTTTCGTGAAAATAGCTCCCATATATATTTTCGTCCGATTTAAGGTAAATGGTGCACCAAAGTTCTTAAATATCATCCGATTTGCACGAAATTTGGAATAACGTACTGAATTGGGCCTAGAGTGATGTCTGCCAAGTTTCGAGAAAATCGGTCCCGATTTAGATATAGCTCCCATATATAGTTTCGTCCGATTTAAGGTAAATGATGCACTGAAGATCCTATATATCTGTCGTTTTGCACGAAATTTTGTAAAACGTACTGAATTGATGATGATGATGTCTGCCAAGTTTCGTGCAAATCGGTCGAGATTTAGATATATCGCCCATATATAGTTTCGTCCGATTTCAGTTAAATGGTGCAACACAGTCCCTATATATCTTCCGATTTGCACCAAATTTGGCATAACGTACTGAATTGAGACTAGAGTGATGTCTGCCAAGTTTCAAGAAAATCGGTCCAGAGTTAGATATAGCTCCCATATATATTTTCGTCCGATTTTAGGTAAATAGTGCACTAAAGTCCCTATATATCTTTCGATTTGCACGAAATTTTGCATAGCGCACTGAATTAAGTCTAGAACGATGTGTGTTAAATTTCGTGCAAATCGGTTAAGATTTTGATATATCTCCCATATATATTTTCGTCCAATTTTAGGTAAATATTGCACCGAAGTCCCTATAAATCTTTCGATTTGCACGAAATTTTGCATAGCGCACTAAACTAAGTCATGAGTGACTTGTGTTAAGTTTCGTGAAAATCGGTTCAGATTTAGATATAGCTCCCATATATATTTTCGTACAATTTTAGCTGAGTCGATCTAGACATGTGTGTCCGTCCATCCGTCTGTCCATTATAATTTGTAAACACGATACAGGCCGCAGTTATGGACCAATCTTCATGAAATTTCGAATGTAGGATGGGTTCTGACCAGTGAAGACCCCTATTGTTTTTGGAAAAGATCGGTTTATATTTAGGACCAAAAACTTTATTTTTGTCTGATCGCTCCAGAAGCCGCAATTATGGCCTAAACATTTCGAATTTTTACATGGAGAAGGGGATTGGGCCAAAGAATAAGCATGCCTGTTTTTATAAAGATCGGCCAATATTTAACGGGTCAAATGGACCCTGACTTTTGTGTGAAAAATGAAAAAAATGTATCCTATAGAGTAAAGATTTACCCCTTAAATGCATAGACCCGAGAAGTTGATAGTAGAAAGCCGAAAATCACAAAGCAACCCACGTTGGGAATCTGGGCAAGTAATTAGGAAGACTGTACTGAATGTTAGTAATATTTGTTGACCTCTAGTGGGTCAAGAGGGTGCAAACATCGCGAAATATTGTCCAAGCTCAGAATGTAGTACCACAGAGAGTTAGATGTTCATGGAAGTTGTATAGGGTATCATATGGTCGGCCCGCCCAACTATACTGCTCCGCTCACTGGTTTTTTAACCCTTTCAGTGTTTTTGTCGAATATATTCGACATTTAAAAGTACTCTTTCTTTGCCATTTTTCAGTTATCCTATGTACCGTTACTATTGATGTTTTTGTTTTTGCTGAAAGACAGTCGAAACTGGTCGAGGATTAAAATGACAATTGCTATTTTTTCTAAACTATGTTCCTTTATACAAAAATTTAGATTTTTATTCCGACAAATTTTTTCTTTGACACTGAAAGGGTTAATGATCTTTTTTTTGAAAAAATTTTCTAAATTTTTTACGAATTTCGGGAATTTTTACAAATTTTTCAGTATCCAAATTCTTTTCCTCTCAACTTCCACAGAGCAACGTGACAACTTTCGATTTAATTGAAATGTTAGAAGGTAACAAAATCGATGCTAGAGGTTAAAAGAGGTCTGTTATGGTCCTTCCAGAGACATACATACACACACAACAACAACACTTGTTCGTTCCTCTAATCGAAGTAGCTAGTTTGTGGACCCACAACTGAAGCTGTGTGGTAGTGTCCATATCAACGGTTACTGCAAGAGAATAAAAAAACATTCCCTATGCAGGTCATGCACATAAACCAAGTTAGTTGCGGGAGTAGTGGCAGAAGTGACTTTGAGGCGAAATAAACTACACAACAGGCACACACATACACACGAAGACACGTACGCACATAAAATACAAACTGTATTTATTCACATAGATACACACACACACGTTAACTGTTGGAAACTTAAAGGACGCACGACTCATTGCAATATCCCCGTGTATATATGGGTGTATTTGTATTCGCCTTTGATTGGTCTTCTCTAACACCCTCCCCCTGTAGCTATTCTGAAGAAACTTTTTGTGTAGATGTGTAACAACTGTGTACACCTTTGGCTTTTTGTTTTTGCCTTTGTATGGGATTTTTATAGTCAATGTGTTTGGGGAAAATCGTATGTGAGGGTGCAGTGCAATGCTGAGCGGGGCGTTTAGTTTGTTTTTGTTGCTGCAAAAAAGCCAATTTGTACAAACTAACTATGCAATTTCGTGCTACCGTTTACCCTCTTCCGCAACTATACCGACAACAGTTAAATATTCCCACTTCTGGGCAAATGAAATCTAAATACAGGCAACTAACCTAGCAGCCAACCAACCAACCAGGCAAGTAACAAACGACCCTCGTCCACTAATAGGAAAGTCAGTTGCGTATAAATATGGGTTAGTGACTAGGTTATGAAGAGAGGTTATTAGCGCAATACAACAACAGCATCAACATCAATACGCAACAATTTGTGTTGATGTTGACGCTGCTGATGATGATGATGACGACGATGATGTTCGACCATGATAATATTGCGGTTTGACTGCAGTAAAATTTTATGTTACGCTCTCTCGATGATTTATGCTGGTGGAATGTTGTCCAAGTTTTTTTTCGTAGAAAATAACTTCATGATGCAAAAGAATTTTTGTCTGCTAAATTAGCTAAGGGATCACAATGCTTGCAATGCAATATGTAAGGTGATGAGGGTCAATTTCTCTTGGGAAGCTAATAATGGTGGAAGGTAAGGGTGGCGTATGATACACGTCAACACTCATACGCAACATTGTGCGAAATTAAAGTTTGGCTGACGTTAAGGGAGTTTTAGGGCATCATTTTTAAAGGCTTCTTTGGAGAGATGATTTTCGAAAGAATTTTTGTCGAGGATCAATAGCAGCCTAGATTTTTCAAAGAATATTTTTAAAACGGCCATAACATGTGTGAGAATATTTAAGAATATTTTACAGGTACCAAAACAAGCGTGAATTTTTTTTCACCACACTGTGGTAAAGAGTATTATATCTTTGTGCATATGTTTGTAACAGGCAAAAGGAAACGAGATAGACACATGGTTTCTTTTAAGAATATGCATAGAATCACTTCCTAAGTCGATTTATGCATGCCCGTCCGTCCGTCTGTACATGTTAAATTGTAAACAAAGTACAGGTCGCACTTATAAACCGATTTGAATGAAATTTGGCATAGGTCACTTTTTTGGCCCAAGGACGAACCCTATTGAAATTGGGAAAAATCGGTTCAGATTTAGATATAGCTCCCATATATATTTTCGTCCGATTTAATGTAAACGGTGCACCAAAGTCCCTATATATCATTCGATTTGCACGACATTTGGCACAGCGTACTGAATTAGATCTAGAACAATGTGTGTTAAATATTTTCGAAAATCGGTTCAGATTTAGATATAGCTCCCATATATATTTTCGTCCGATTTAATGTAAACGGTGCACCAAAGTCCCTATATATCATTCGATTTGCACGACATTTGGCACAGCGTACTGAATTAGATCGAGAACAATGTGTGTTAAATATTTTCGAAAATCGGTCAAGATTTAGATATAGCTCCCATATATATTTTTGTCCGATTTAATGTAAACAGTGCACCAAAGTCCCTATATATCATTCGATTTGCACGAAATTTGGCCCAGCGTACTGAATTAGGTCTAGAATGATGTGTGTTAAGTTTCCTGAATATCGGTCCAGATTTCGATATAGCTCCCATATATATTTTCGACCGATTTAGGGTAAATGGTGCGCCAAAGTCCCTATATATCGTTCGATTTGCCCGAAATTTGGCACAGCGTACTGAATTAGGTCTAGAATGATGTGTGTTATGTTTCCTGAAAATCGGTCCAGATTTAGATATAGATCCCATATATATTTTCGTCCGATTTAATGTAAATGGTGCGCCAAAATTTGGCATAGCGTACTGAATTAGGTCTAGAATGATGTGTGTTAAGTTTCCCGAAAATCGGTCCAGATTTAGATATAGCCCCCATGTATATTTTCCTCCGATTTAATGTAAATGGTGTACCAAAGTCCCAATATATCTTTCGATTTGCACGAAATTTGGCACAGCGTACTGAATTAGGTCTAGAATGATGTGTGTTAAGTTTCCCGAAAATCGGTCCAGATTTAGATATAGCTCCCATATATATTTTCCTCCGATTTAATGTAAATGGTGCGCCAAAGTCCCGATATATCTTTCCTGAGACTAAAACAGTCGGGTATTTTTCAAAAAATATTTTTTTCTGAGACCAAAACCGGTGTGATTTTTTAAAAACTATTTTCCTCAGACCAATACAGACGTGGGTTTAAAAAAATTCTTGTACCAAAACAAGCGTGGGTTCTTCAAAGATATTTTTCGGAAACCAAAAAAGGCGAAGGTTTGTTTTTCGAACGAGTTGGCTCAAATTTGACATTATGGGCTCTTATCGGTCGATCTATGGGTTCAGACACTATATAAAAGACCTACCTCTTTATAGATAGTATGGTGGTTCTGAGTACAAACAAACAATTTTATAACAATCTCATATTTTTTTCAAATTTAATTATTTTTTTAATAGCTAAGAAAATACCTCCTTTTCTTGCCTTTCAGATTCACCCAACCAGCAACAACAACAACAATATCAAACGCAACAGCAGCAGCAACAACAAACAAATAAAACACATCCCAACGGTAGTATAATTTCTGGCATGACCACACTATCACATCACATTCGGGCGCCACGACCTCCAACACGTACCGCTTCCTCCACCAATCCTTCGTGCAGTTCATCGGGAGGTAGTGGTGTCGGCGGCGGCGGTGGAAGTAGTAGTAGTGGAGGCGGCGGAGGTGGTTTGAATTCAAATCTAATTGATCAAACCCCCTCGAATGGTAGCAGTAGTAGCGGTGTTAGCAGCGCCCCCTCATCGAAGGGTCATTCGCATCATCATGGTCACGCTCATTCACATACAAGTTCCGCCGTCGATAATATCGGTATGACAACGACCTCGTCGTCCTCAAGTGCGATGGGCGGTGGCCAAGGTCACCTGCAGCAACAAGTGCCACAGGCGGCAATAGATGAGATGCGCGTCTGATAGGTGTCGGTGTTCGAACTAGATTTATAGTCGTCTTCATGGTGAGTGGTAAAAACAAATTCTCAAAAATATAATTTCAAGGGGTGCTCAACACCTCTGATGAACTCCTTGCATGGTCAGCTCTTTATATTTAAACTGCAGCAAATCCAAAAAAAATCTCTGTAATTTTTTTAAGTCTTCCTTTTCCCTTTTCATTTTCATTTTTTACTTCTTTGCTCGTGTCTTTTTTTCCCCAAATTCCTTTTATGCATTGCTTTGCCTTTATTTGTGCTCATCCTTGTTTCATTATCTGTTGCACTTGACTAGGTTTTTCACTCGGATTTGTGTATTTCCCGTTAACTTATCTTTAAGTGCATTCACTTACAAGCTCACACACACACATTTGTACTTCATACAAATTTACACTAATAAAGATAATAGTAGAAGATCTTGCATGCCGAGAAGTCATTTAGCTAATAGTAAGATTTCTTATCAGCAGTTGAGCTGCTTAACGACTTGGAATTGTTCTCTCAACCACTAGGAGTGTTATTAGTGAAGTCAGAATAGGTATGTGTGTGTGTGTGGTTAAGTGCATTAGTATTGCATATTAGGTATGGAAATTATGATTGCTATTATGTATTATTCTGCCGCATTGTTAAAAATTTTAACTCAATCTGATAACGGTTCGAAATACATATGAAAGCAATGACTACAACTCCACCAATTTCAACAAAACGTCAATAACGTCATTCATACCACGTGTAAAAATTCGTGTTAATCGGACAAACATTAGGTGTTTGGTGCACCATTTATGTAAAATCGGACGAAAATATATGTGGAGCTATATCTAAATTTAAACCGATTTTCACGAAATTTAACACACATCGTTCTGGACTCAACTCAGTACGCTATGCCAAATTTCATACAAATCGAAAGATATATAGGGACTTTGGTACACTATTTACCTAAAATCGGACCAAAATATATATAGGAGCTATATCTAAATCTGAACCGATTTTCCCGAATCAAAGCACACAACATTCTAGACTGAATTCAGTACGCTACACCAAATCTCGTTCAACTCGAAGGATATATAGGGACTTTGGTGCATCATTTACACAAAATCGTACGAAAATATATATGGGAGCTATATCTAAATCTGAACCGATTAACGCGAAATTTAACACACGTCGTTTTAGACTCACTTCAGTACAATATGCCAAATTTCATGCAAATCGAAGGATATATAGGGACCTTGGTGCGCCAGTTACATAAAATCGGACGAAAATATATGTGGAAGCTATATGTAAACCTGTACCGATTCTCACGAAATTCGACACACATTGTTCTAGACTGAATTCAGTACGCTACACCAAATTTCGTGCAAATCGAAGGATATATAGGGACTTTGGTGCATCAATTACCTAAAATCGGACGAAAATATATATGGGAGATGTATCTAAATCTGAACCGATTTTCACGAAATGTAACACACATCGTTCGAGCCTTAGTTCAGTATGCTATGCCAAATTTCACACAAATCGAAGGATATATAAGGAGTTTGGTGCATAATTTACACAAAATCGGACGAAAATATATATGGGAGCTATATCTAAATCTCAACCGATTAACACGAATCTTAGCACACATCATTCTAGACTGAAATCGGTACGCTACACCAAATTTCGTGCAAATCGAAGGATATATAGGGACTTTGGTGCACCATTTACTTTAAATCCGACGAAAATTTATATGGGTGCTATATCTAAATTTAGGCCGATTTTCACGAAATTCGACACACATTGTTCTACACTCAATTCAGTACGCTACACCAAATTTCGTGAAAATCGAAGGATATATAGGGACTTTGGTGCATCATTTACACAAAATCGGATGAAAATGTATATGGATCTATATCTAAATCTGAACCAATTAACACGAAATTTAACACACATCGTTCTAGACCTTAATCATTCGTCTGTGCCAAATTTCGTGCAAATCGAAAGACATATAGGGACTTTGGTACACCATTTACCTTAAATCGGACAAAAATATATATGGGAGCTATATCTAAATCGGAACCGATTTTCACGAAACTTAACACACATTATTCTGGACTTTATTCAGTACACTACGTCAAATTTCGTGCAATTCGAAGGATATATAGGGACTTTGGTGCACCATTTACTTTAAATCGGACGAAAATATAGACCGATTTTCACGAAATTCGACACACATTGTTCTAGACTCAATTCAATACACTACGCCAAATTTCATGCAAATCGAAGGATATGCAGGGACTTTGGTGCACCATTTACCTAAAATCGGACGAAAATATATATGGGAGTTATATCTAAATTTGAACCGATTTTCACAAAAATCGACACACATTGTTCTAGACTTAATTTAGTACGCTATACCAAATTTCGTGAAAATCGAAAGACATATAGGTACATTGGTGCACCATTTACCTTAAATCGGACGAAAATATTTTTTTTTCAATTTCAGTAGGGTTTGTCCTTGGGCCAAATAAATGAGCTGTGTCAAATTTCATCCAATTCGAATCAAAAATGCAACCTGTACTTTGTTTACAATTTAACATCAACGGACGGACGGACATGCATAAATCGACTTAAAAAGTGCTTCTATGCATATTCTCAAAAGGAGCCATGTGTCTATCTCGTTTCCTTTTGCCTGTTACAAAGATATGCACAAAGACATAATACCCTGTACCACAGTGTGGTGATGGGTATAAAAATCCATGCCTATGTTTGGATGCCTGATAAAATATTTTTTAAAAATCCACGCCTATTGAAGCCGCTTAAAAAAATATTTTTTAAAAATGTTAATTAAATAATCCTCGTTTGTCGATCCCTTGTCCGTTGAATAATATTGAAATTCCTCCTTAACGAACTAAATAACATTTTCCGCTTTTCTATTTATTTTTTCCCTGCCATCCAAGCTGATAAAATTGTTTCCATTTTTTTATTATTATTACTTAAACAAAATAGATGAAATAACTTTCTCAACTTAAATATTTTCAAACAATAACGAATACAACAACTGTAAAAAAAGTGAAATGAAATTCCAAATGTCATTTCCTGTTCTTCATCATGATACGAATGTGTTTGTGTGTGTGTGTGTTTGTAAAGCCAAGCAGCAAAACACCACACCACGGTGCCCTGCACTTCGCTGTCATGCATTTTTGCATCTCATTGCATTTCAAATTGACAAAGTTCTAATGATGTCTTTACAAAGTACAATGTTTATACATTTTAACGAACGAATTTATAAAAAATACACTGCACTGTGAGTACTTGAATAAAATGAAGAACAAAGTTGCGTCTTTTTCGCCACTTGGGGTTTTTCCTCAAGAACTTTTACACGACAGAGGAAGAGTGTGCGAAAAAAAGAGAAAACAGAAAAATATGTTGAATATGTTTTATGTTTTCAGGTTTTTATTTCCTCTTGTTTTTCTTTTCTTCGTTTCTTTAATGTTTTTTTTTTTTTTTTTGTTATTTTCTCCCATCATTTATTTTTTGTTATTCCCTTTCACATGTTGTGTTGTTGTAATTCAGAAAGTTGTGCAAAATATTTTGCCAAATAAATTAAAAGTTTTCCTCCATGGAATGGAGGAACGAACAATGAGTTTTTCATTTTTTGGTCAATGACAAAATACAAAACACACACATTTAAGAAGTGAATAAGAAAACAAGAACAACAACGACAAGAATAAGCCTGGAACATGAAACAAAAGAACCATCAGTTCGCCACTTAACAACACGTTGTCGTGAAGCAGGTACAACATTGGTGTGAACCAGCCGCAACTCAACGACCATGGAACAAGTATTTTTGGTGGTCACCAACACCATTATCATGATGGTGATGATGATGATGGTGTTGGGAAGACAATACGTAAATAGACAGGGGATACACAAGATTTAAGGTCCGTCAGGATTTTTTAAAGATGTTTTTTTTTCATGTATCCAAACATAGGTGTGGATTTTGTAAAAAGCATCCCAACATAGGCGTAAAAAAATTGGCTCAGCTCGTCTATTTGGCCCAAGGACGAACCCTAATGAAATTGGGAAAATCGATTCAGATTTACATATAGCTCTCATATATATTCGTCCGATTTAAGGTAAATGGTGTACCAAAATTCCTATATATCATTCGATTTGCACAAAATTTGGCACAGCGTACTGAATTAGGTTCAGAATGATGCATGTTAAGTTTCTTGCAAATCGGTCCATATTTTGATATAGCTTCCACATATATTTTCGTCCGATTTAAGGTAAATGGTGCACCAAAGTCCCTATATATCTTTCAATTTGCACGAAATATGGCACAGCGTAATGAATTAGATCTCCAATGACGTGTGCTAAGTTTTCGACCGATTTAATGTAAACGGTGCACTAACACGAAACGGTGCTTTGCACGAAATTTGGCACGGTGTAGTAAATTAGGACTAGAATGATGTGTGTTAAGTTTCCTGAAAATCGGTTCAGATTTAGATATAGCTACCATATATATTTTCGTCCGATTTTATGTAAATGGTGTACCAAAGTTCCTATATATCATTCGATTTGCACGAAATTTTGCACTGGGTACTGAATTAGGTCTAGAATGATGTGTGCTAAGTTTCCTGAAAATCGGTCCAGATTTATGTATAGCTCCCATATATATTTTTGTCCGATTTAAGGTAAATGGTGCACCAAACTCCCTAAATATCTTTCGATTTGCACGAAATTTGGCGTAGTGTACTGAATAAAGTCTAGAATAATGTGTGATAAGTTTCATGAAAATCGGTTCAGATTTAGATATATCTCCCATATATATTTTCATCCGATTTAATGTAAATGGTGTACCAAAGTCCCTATATATCTTTCGATTTGCACGAAATTTGGCGTAGCGTACTGAATTAGGTCTAGAATGATGTGTGCTAAGTTTCGTGAAAATCGGTTCCATTTAGATATAGCTCCCATATGTGTTATCGTCCGATTTTATGTAAATGGTGCACC